GCGGAGGGAGCGGCGCGCGGGGCCCTCAGGTACGGCCGGGACGCTCTCGGGCCATCGCGGCCGCTCCGGGCACTTCCCGGCGCTCCCCGGCACTCAGGACCCTCCCGCCGCCACCGCGCCGGCACCCATGAGCTGAGGCGCCGCCGCGGGAGCCGAGGCAGGAGCGGGCGGAGCCGCCGCCGCGGGCCCGGCGGAGCAGCGGAGCCGCCTCCCCGCCGCCCCATGCGCGGCCCGCGCTGAGCCCCGCCCGCCCTTCCCCGCCGGGCCGGCGCTCGCCCTCTCGCCCTCCCTTGGATGCCGCCGAGATGGGCAAGGTGCTGTCCAAGATCTTCGGGAACAAGGAGATGCGGATCTTGATGCTGGGGCTGGACGCGGCCGGCAAGACCACGATCCTGTACAAACTGAAGCTGGGCCAGTCGGTGACCACGATCCCCACCGTGGGCTTCAACGTGGAGACCGTCACCTACAAGAACGTCAAGTTCAACGTGTGGGACGTGGGCGGCCAGGACAAGATCCGGCCCCTGTGGCGGCACTACTACACGGGCACGCAGGGGCTCATTTTCGTGGTGGACTGCGCCGACCGCGACCGCATCGACGAGGCGCGGCAGGAGCTGCACCGCATCATCAACGACCGGGAGATGCGGGACGCCATCATCCTCATCTTCGCCAACAAGCAGGACCTGCCCGACGCCATGAAACCCCACGAGATCCAGGAGAAACTGGGCCTGACCCGGATCAGGGATAGGAATTGGTATGTGCAGCCCTCCTGTGCCACGACGGGGGATGGACTCTACGAAGGGCTGACGTGGTTAACGTCCAATTATAAATCCTAATGGGAGAGGAACTATTTAGTCTACAAAGAATTAAAGAAACAAAACAAAACAAACAAACAAACAAAAAAAAACCGTACAAAAAAAATAAATAACCCACGTGGCTTTCCAGAAGAATGATTCTCTACTGAAAAGTAAAAACAAAAAAGCATCCATAGGATTATGATCACCTTTCTCCAGTTGCCACCCTTTCCTCCTGCACCCTTGGCTGGATTCCTGTTCTAACTCCTCCTGCTTGGCGTTAGGATGCTCTAACCTCCGAATGTGACACGAACACAGGCACTAGATGCTATGGCAGACTTCCAGCAAACAGGGGAAGGACACATTATAGACTTGCTAAGTAACTTTTTTTTGGTTTTTTTTTTTTTTTTTTCTTTTTCTTCTCGATAGCCCTTTGCTGGTTTGATTATTTTGGGGGATGCTGGGGGAGGGGGTCCATTTTCAGTGTATGCTTTCTGGGTCTACTTTTTTGATTATATATTTTTTTTTTCTCTCTCTTCTCTCACTTTGCTGTAGATTGCTACTTTTTTGCATTCCTGCAGGATATGTTGCTAGGTCGACTTCATCTAGTAAACTGAAAATCGTTGCTTAAAATCAAACCGCAGTCTGTCTTTTTATATTAAGGACTTTTTTTTTTAAAGTTCTGTTAATCTGTAACTAAACAGTGACTCAGTCTGGCTCCACGGCTCAGGCTAATGAGGGGAATTCTTGCCTGCAGTGGCAGAGAGTGGGAATTCCACTGTAACGTGTTCAAAGTGCGTGTCGGGCGCCGGGAAATGTAAGAACTGCTTTGGAATGTCAGCTGGGAAGTTCTGACCCATACATCATGCATGAGGAGGGATGCAAAACCAGCTCCCCACACCACAGAGCAARCAAGGCATGAACGATGCTGTAGTTCCAGGGTAGGCACTGGTCGGTTTTTTTGTCTTAAATCAGGTTTAGTTGCAGTTTTTTACTACTTGGTGTYGGTCCCCGGGCCGAGGCTCTTTCCAGCAGATGCAGCAATAAAATGTTGCAATGAGTTTGACTTTAAATCAKATGTTTTGGCAGAAGTCCAGCACTGACTTTGCCTCTCGCTTCCATCTCAAGGCAGCTGGAGACACCTAAACCTTTAAAAGATTCCTGATTCTTTCCAACTGAAAGAAGGAAATTATTATTAWTGTTCTTTTTCCATGCTGGAGCCTTGCAAAGGGGCGAGTTCCATGCTGAGCTCTGCTCGRGCCCGGGGGTTCTGACATCAGGAATGGCCATTTTGAGGAAATCTCTTCTTGCTTTAGTTTTCCAAGCCTGGACTGAGCTCCTGCGAGTGGCTGGAGCCTCCCATGTCCTGGKTGTTGCTGTAGTCCTGTAGGGAAGGGAACTATGTTGGATGTCTGAGGCCCATTGAGTAACTACTAATGAGAGCGGGGAGGGGAGAGAGAGAGAGAATCGACACTGAATGTAAACTTCCATAATTAGTTCTTAAAGGGCAAGCAGCTCGTTAGCCATGTCACAGCCTGTAGCTGGGACTGGCCAATCAAAAACCCCACCCAGAGYGAGTATTTGCATAAAAACTCAATCAAGTATTAATTAACGCTGGGTGCACAAACTGTTAAAGCAGCTGGTTCTTATTCAGCCTTAAGGATTAACTTCAGATTTCCTCAAGGAGTTAAAACTCCATTGGGGAATTCTAGGAATGTATGCTACAAAACCAGAAGAAAATGGCTTTTTATTTTCCTTCTTTTTTTTCTTTCTTAATTGTTTTCTTTTTTTTTCAAGAATATAAGTTTTACATGGAATTGGGGGCATTACACTACATTGCTGCAGTGGTGACTCTGCATGCTGAGTACGTTGTACATGGAGCTCTTACCAAAGATGTATGGRAAGATAAAAATCCTGAATTCACTTCTGAAATCCAATGCTTTGGACCACTTCAAAGTCCTCTTAGAGTATGGTTCCAAAAAAGACTTTTCTGGATGTGGGTTGCAAATGGGACTGGATGGGTTCTTGGTGCTAGAAGATAGAGCATTGATGGACTTTGTGAATTAGAGASAGTCTGCAGAAGCTTAATGTAGAAATAACTCTTCAATCTCAGCCCTAAAGAAGAGGAAGTGACATTAGTTTATTTTAATCCAAGGCTTTTTGCCATTGGAATATCATTGCTCTATTTTCTAGCTTTTGTTTTCTTTTCCTGTTGCTGTAACTTAATGAACAGTGTGGTGGTATAAAAATTTAAAAATACAACAATATGGTTACTGTTTTCTTCTGGAGCATCAATAAAATAGCCAAGCACAAAGTAAATGCCTAAACTGGAAAACTTGAAGCTCTATTAATGGTTCTTGAACTTTCTTAAACCTATTCTCAGTCAACATGAAAACTTCAATACCTTCATTTTTTGTCTGAGTTGGTTTCCTGTGTTTCCAAGCGCTGGGGCAGCCTTTGCATTAAGTTGACTTCACAATTTTGTATCCCCTTAGAAGCAACTTTGTTATTCTGTTTTTGTAGTTAAAAGGAAACTGCTTTTGCTTCTGGATTTTTTTTTTTTTTGGGAGTGGGGAGGGAGAGATGGGGGAGAAAAAGTTACTGGAACTGTGGCAGGGCTGCCAGAAATAAATGGCCATTGCCACKGAACAAAACCCCACAGGTTTCACTTCCAACATGTCCTCTCTAGACTGTAGCTGGACCTCAGCAAGAGGTAGTGGCTCTCAGTAGGATAAAGTGGGAATTCTGTCCAAAACAAACCAGTCTGGAGTTCCAAGTGCATCGATTTGTGTTCGTGTGAATTTATGGAGTAAGTTTTGAATGGCGTTAAATCGTGTCCGACCAAGTGACTGAGTTTGTGGCCTGTGATCTCCCTGACTGAAGTACCCAGGAATTTTGTGTTCTCAATATGGCTGTAGTGTTGGTAAAGAACTAATAAGCAGAAAATAAAGCAATTATACAGCGGAGCTCTCCTGGTATGTTACTTACATTGAATTATGAGAGAAGCAGAAAGGGGCAATCTGGTGCCGGAGTCGGGCGTTGTGCTGGCATAAAGAGGGCTCTGTTCTGGATCTCCAGATTGGAAGCCTGGMTGTGACTCCTTTGAGAATTAGATGAGAAACTATTTTTATAAGTGGAAAAGGAGGATGCTTCTTAATATTCCCACTTRAGCAAACTTGACTGTCAGGGTTCTGCAGCCTCAGTGCCAGTCCCCATCACTTGGGAAGGTGAGGGCACGGAGGGATTGTCACTGTCCTGTTCAGGGATGGAATTCCTCAGAAAGGGCAGCTGTGAGGCTGGTGTGGAACACAGAGATGGACAAAAGGGCTGATGAGTGACTGGGGGTGCTTGTGGAGTGACAGATGTGATGTTGGGACTCGGTGGTGCCCGAGCAGGACACGAGTGAGCGGATAAAAGGACTTGGGCAGGTGCTGGGGCTGCGGGGGGGCCGGGGACAGCAGGACATGGATCCTGTGACAGCTGCCATCCCCTGGGTCACTGAGCCCTGCTGCCGAGGGCACGGCCGGGGCTCCTAGGCTGCTCCCACCAATGCAGGTGCCAGGCCGGGCGTCAGCTCCTCCTCGCAAAGCTTTTGGGAATCCTCAGGAAGATCCCTGCCTAYGAAACRAGCTGAGCTTTGAGGTYCTTCCCACCCAAACCATTCCATGATTCCATGAGTGTCCAGCCAGGAGAGTGCAGAGACCACAGGGCCACTAAACCACGATTCTCCACGGAGCTTTCCCTGGCTCTCAGTCCAGGGTGTGGCCGTGCAAATGAACTTACTCTGACTTAATTAAACTGCTCGGAGCTGGGAGACAAGAAGGGGGAACTGGTGTCTCTCTGGCTGGGGCAGTGAGTCATATTTCAAAATGCCGGCGCTTATCGCGTTCCATCGGAGCACGGTGAGCCCGACTCAGGCCCGCGCCRTGACTCAGCCTCAGCAGGGCTCTGCCCCCAGTCACAGGGCTTGGAAAAAGTGTGCCCACCATTCCTAATTGGAAATTATCCCTGCTAGTGCAAATCCTCCCAAAGGAATGCTTTAAAAGCGTTGTCAGGACAGCTGGGTACAAGGGCTATGAGAAACGGGCCTGGTGGGCCTGAGGTGATATCCCTTCTCACTGGGATTTGGGATTTGGGAATGGGAAAAAAGGGACTGCCAGGAGCTGAGGACTTGCTGTGGATGTGGAAGCAGCCTTGCTGTGAGCATTGTGACTCAGATTTCCCTCTAACACACGGTTGTGCTTTTTATCTTGGATTTGCCTCTAATGTCTGTCCAGCCTGACGGGCTCAGCGTGGGGGAYCTGAAATCCCCTCAGCTTTGGTGCTTTCTGGAAGCTAAAAAAAAACCTCTCCCCTCATCTCGTGGGGAAGCATCAGCTCCCAGGGGCTGTTGGTGAATGAGTGTCACCTCTGCTGACTGATTCAGTTCCTCCTCTGAGGTCCTGTGCGCGCTCAGTGCTGCTCTATTTTGGAATTACGGCTGAGCCGAGACTCTCAGGGCTTCAGGCCAAGGTGGAGCCCCACAATCCATCTCCCTTTCAAAAGTGGGAGCGCCCAAAGAGCAGAACGGGGTAATTTTCGCCCTGTGTCAGCTCGGGAAGGTGCAGGGCTGAGTCAGAGCCCCGGGAGCTCTGGGGAAGGTGGTTTTTACAGGCGGGAAATGGGGTGTGAAGGGGGTTGTCCAGGAAGTGGCTCTGCTCTTACTTAAGAACAGGTATCTCTGGCCTCCTTAAGAAAGGAGGGGGAAAAAAGTCAAGATGTGAGTCACTGCTGAGTCCCACAGTGGTTTAACAGGCTCTGGCCCTTGCTTTGCCTCAAGTTTTCCCTTCCAGAGGATGCACTTCACTCCTCTGTTCCTGTTTTTTTTTTTTAGTTGCGTTTTCCAGGGCAGCTTTAGTTAGGAGAAATGGCTGTCCTGTGAGATGGAAATTGGTAACACTTAAACACTTAAAGCACTTCGTTTTCCTTGGGATGAGTGAGTGCAACTCCCAGGGGTGCCACCAACAAGGCCTGGATCCATACAGGATCCCTGTGCCCCTGCTGCCTTTCAGGGGGTGAAAACTCCCTGGGAGGTTAAACAGAGAAAAGGAGGGAGCCAAAGTGTGGAAAAGAGCCTGAATTTCTGGCTGGAGGGTGGGGAGGCCCTGGCACGGGAG